AAAGATGTTCACTAGATAAAATGTCTATCTTTTATTGCTTCCATTATTTTATTTTTATAAATATTGAAGTAGTGGTCTTGCTTAAGCAAAACCAGAGGAAATAACATGTTTGATACCCTGGTCTGAATAAAGTTTTAAGTAGAGAGAAGTGTTGTAGAGAACACCTTTCCATGGTTGCTGTATTCTGTTTCTATTTAAAGTGAAAGGTAAGCATCTGAGCTTTTAGTAATTAATGTATTCCTGTTTACATTGCCTTATGTGTAGAATATTCTTTTTCAGTATTCTTTGCTGCTTCAGATTTCTTAATATATAAGATCAAAAGAAATTACTTATTTAAGGGAGCTTAGTGAGGAATAAGGTTGGAGAAATGTACAGTTTTTTTGATACATTATATGCTGAACATCATTGATACCACTTATATCTAGATCGTATATACTGAAGTATTTATTATACTAAATTTACTGACTGGAATTCTGGCTTGTAACAGATAACTCCCGTCCAACAGCCAAGCACAATGGGACCAAATTTCCATTCCTTACCTACCAATGCACAAATGTGCAAAGTATGGCTAATAGTTGAAAATACTAAGTGATATAAAACTTATTTATTTTTCTACAGGGATTATTTTTGAGGAGGAGGGTTTTTTTTTTTGTTTTTTACTAAACTCCTCTGTTCCCAAACCCTGGTTTCACTTGTATGTGTCCCAGAGAAGGGAGAGTGTCAGTTTTAGCAGCCCTCTCCCCAAGCGTTGGTGGCTGCATCATTGCTTCTTGGGCTCAGCTCTCCAGCCTACACTGCTTGGGCTTCCCTAATGTTTCTGTATCAAAGCTGGGCTCCAGCTGTGGCTCCCAACCCCCTTTTTTGCATGGCTTCATGGAAGAGTGAAGGGAATCTGCACTGTAAGCCAGTTAACTTCCCCTTACGGGGAAAGCTGGAGAGCAAGAGGCAGGTTGCAGCAGAACAAGGAGACAACAAAATGTCACCCCACTGCAACAAAATGATGCATTTTGTGGCATCTTGGAAAAATGCCAAATTATGTGGCTGTGGATCTGCCGTGTCTACAAAGGAACAAGTGTGTGTGGAATCAGGGTCTGCCCTAGACCAAATGACACCCCAAGCAAGGAACGTCTTCGGTGCCTCCCTCTTTTGTTAAACTTTTGAGTACCTTATTTGTTGTTGCAGTTGTAGCCCATTTCACGACTTTGATGCACTGTTTGCATGCATGATTTATTCCTATCATTTAAGATGATAAAGTTGCATGCTAGGATCTGTAAATCTGTATTTAATCATGCAATGTATAAGCAAATAAAAAAAATTGTTTCCTCTAAGCTTATAGAAACTTTTAAATTTTAAGAATAATTGAAATGTACTAACGTCAAGAAATTGAACAGTGCACCAACATTGGGTGGACCCCAGTATTAAATAGTGTTACGGTGGGCCTTAGAATGTTAACCCTAGTCCTTTAGTTCAAATGGTTGTTTTTTCACCTTTGCCCTCACAAACTGAAGCACAGTGTCGGAGAGATCCAAAGATTGGCCAGTGGCATTTTCAAGTGGTAAAATAGCAAACGATGTCAGTCTCTCGTCAGCAATCGTCGATCAAAGATACGTTTTAATGAGCATGAGTTTCAAAAAGCTGCGCTCCCCACTTGCGACTGTCCAGTTTGGCCAGCAATGCCCCTCTGCCATGTACATTGGCCAAACTGGACCTTCTCTACGTAAAAGAATAAATGGATACAAATCAGACGTCAAGAATTAGAACATTCAAAAACCAGTCGGTCACTCGATTACAGTCCTAAAAGTTGCAATTCTTCAACAAAAGAACTTCAAAAACAGACTCCAACGAGAGACTGCTGAATTGGAAATAATTTGCAAACCGGATACAATTAACTTGGGCTTGAATAAAGACTGGGAGTGGATGTGTCATTACACAAAGTAAAACTATTTCTCCTTGTTTATTTCCCCTCCTACTGTTCTTGTAAAGTGCTGGAAATGGCCCACCTTGATTATCACTAGGAAATTCCCCCCCTCCCCCCCCCCGCTCTCCTGCTGGTAATAGCTCACCTTTCCTGATCACTCTTGTTATAGTCTGTATGGGAACACCCATTGTTTCATGTTCTCTCTGTATATAAAATCTCCCCACTATATTTTCCACTGTATGCATCCGATAAAGTGAGCTGTAGCTCACGAAAGCTTATGCTCGAATAAATTGGTTAGTCTCTAAGGTGCCACAAGTACTCCTATTCTTTTTACGGATACAGACTAACGCGGCTGCTACTCTGAAACCTAACATTGTCTGTGAGGATCTTCCACCTGATAGTTGATGCTGAAAACAGGATGTTTATCCTTTTGCAGTACTCTGAAGAGAGATACTGAATCTAAAGACGATGATGCTACATCTGGCACAACCAGGTTGAGAGAATGGCAGCCACAAGGCACAAAAGCTCTTGGATTCAGCACAAGGATCCTGGCCTGGACGCTACTGTTTCTTCCTTTCACGTTCATGCCATTGTTGTAACCTTGGCCACGGCAGTCCCGAAGCTTTTATTTTATTCTCATTTAAAACATTCATAGTTCTGCTAGGTCTTTTCCAGTAGAGTCATCCACGCACCGGAAACAGATAAAGCATTTGTTTACTTGGCTACAGCCTTCCTCATCAACAAATCTTATTGTAAACATCTTTCCACTGGGTCTAATATCAGGAATGCAGACCATTTTTATGGCATAGTACTTCGTTTTGCTGAGCTGCATCAATATGTTATCAAACACCTTCCTTTCCATAAAGTCAATCAATTTGTTTTGAATAATTTTGCTGCAGTAATGGTCCATAGCTTCTTTACAAACACTCTAGGTACGTGCTCACGCATAACATCATCGTATTTCCCCAGGAGTTCTACGAAACTGAGGAAATTACCATTATGCTCAGTGAACAATTTATGTGGCGAGCCCTGGAAAGCCAGATTATTCTTTGCTAGGAAGAGGATAATTGAGATCAGATGCTTGAGCACATTCCTCCAGTGCTGGGTATCTGCATTAATGTTGCACTGGTTTTCTTCATATGTGCATTTATTCAGCTTGAGTCTGGACTCGACCTCCATCCATTTGGAGTAAGCTGTAAAATGGCCGGGTGACTTTTCATGTTGCTTGAGAGAATCCACTAAATTATGGCAGTGATTGTAACCGGAAAGTGCAAGCAGTGTCTTGGCATTCTTGTCAATCATTTTGTAACAAAAACAGAATGTGTTGTCCTTTGATTTTGAGTAGCTAACACCGATTCAGTTTCTCACCATTCTCAAGCACTCTTTTGCAGTGTGACTTAGAGAAGTGTTGCTTCTGCTCATTTGCTGGAAATGTTATATTCTCGATTTTTCCTGGCCCATTCAAAATTGTACTAATCATTATCAGCAGAGTTTAGGATCACTGGCCATAAAGCAGGATCTGATGTATTGATTTGTGGTGTGCATGTTTTTTCTCTGCTCTTTCTGTCATCACTGAGACTGATTCATTATTGTTTCTCTCCTTTTCATGTAAACCAGATTTTTCTTTATCATCACTCTCCTTTACAGTGCCAGGAAAACTGGACAATTCTCCATCACTTTGCTCATCTTTCATTTCTTATTTTCAGGTAAATCTGTTAATTCCTTAGTAATAGGACTTCCATTATTTATGCTTCGCTCCTCAATTTCTTCTGCACTGGGACAATCGGTATTGCCTAAAGCCTGGTCTATGTTCTGCTTCAGATGTTTTCCCATTAAATTTGCCCCTTGCTGCAAACTGGATTGCAGTTGAGCTTTTCCCTTCCTATACTGAGCTCCTCAAGGCTTCTTCGGGGGCATCTTTCATTTCCTACAAGGGAAAACAAACAATATTAGGGAGAGCAAAAGTCTATGTTCTGCAGTCTTAGAAAGTCCTCAAACATTACGTGTTAAGCATAACAAAAGAAGTAACAGTATTTCTGTTATGTTGTTGCATAGATAGGGGTTTGATAGATATCTCTGGCGTCTCATTAAATATGTCCTTTATTAATCGCTACTTAAACTCTTCAAGTCTTAAAACACAAGTACGCTTTCACAATTATACAACAAAACAAGGTTCGCAGTATTGCAGTTGGGCTCTCACTTCACTTCAGTTCGTTCTTTATATCTCGCTGACTGATTGGCGAATCCCCACCCTTTTATACTCACAAGGGCCCGGCTGACCACTTTGAGAACTACATTTTCCTCAAACCTCCTACAAAGTCTGGAAGGTTCCATGATATTCTACAAAGGTCCAGAACATTGTAAAAATTGAATCCACATATGGAATACCTGAAATGTTTTACTTCAAACATCCTGTTTTCCCTTTGTCGCTAACAACAAAAACTGCACCCCTAGCCCGGCACCCCAGGTGATTGCCTGGCTCGCTTGGCCCTAAATACATTCCTATGTGGGATTGGTGGGACTCTGTGAGTGTGTGTGTGAATTAAGAATCCATGAAAGAAGGAGGGCACTGAATGCTCACAGGAGGACAGAAATAGGATTATGCTTACTTTCAAGGGTATAAGATGACTGTTAGAGCTACAGATTCCATTTTAAATAAATGTGGGTGAGACTACATAGTAGGCTCATATGGTGTCTGCTACAGGTAAAGTTGCAAAAACATTTCTGCAGTATCCCCTCGTTTTCATATGCTTATTTCCTGAAACTTTTGTTTTGCACTGAAATTTTCCATACATAGCCTCTATCCCAGCTTTTTTTGTGTGTGAGATGCTTGAGCAAACTCCTTCCATCTCCTTTAGATTTGAAAGTCTAGAGGGGAAAGGCTATGTTCTTCACCGTGTATGTAAGACTTTAGCACCATTTACACTTTGAAACTTGTGCAGGAAGGACTATGTACGTCAGCATATGCTATGTTAAGCTTAAAAAACGCTTTGAGAATTGTACAGCCTATTTTACTGCATCTTTAAAGCTAAGTATTTTTGTTCTTTGCCTGATTTTAATCTATTGTGTGCTTTCTTCTCAGGTTTCTAGCAGAATACCATGATGACTTCTTCCCAGAGTCTGCTTATGTAGCTGCATGTGAAGCTTACTACAGCACCAAGAATCCTCGGGCAATCTACTGAAGCTTTTAGTGAACAATAAATCCTACTGTACGTAGCCCATGGTTATTGCTGCTTTGCCACATAGCTACGAGATGAAGATGAAAGGGAATTTGAATGGCCTTTTTCAGATAGGAAGAAAGGAGTCGCTTCTATGACTACTGGATTCGTTAGCAGAGATGGACCACGTCTTGTTTCAGAGCCGTGCAAAGATTACATTCTGAATTGCTCCAAGTGTTGCATGTAAGCTGCACTGCTAGAAGAAGCCCTGCACTGATTTCTAATGCATAGGACTGCATATAGTTCTTATTAAGAAGGGTGGGGGGGAAAGCAGGTGCATTAGCAGTGGGACGTTTTCATGAAAACAAATACCACATGCTGTCTTTCATTTTAACGTGAACTGTTTTCAGCATGAAAAGTAGAACTGGCTTCACTCTCGTGTAAGGAGAATGCATAACTGGCATCCAGTGGATTTCGTTTCACACACAGAACCCATACTTCATTTTGTGCAACGGTCACGGCAGGAAAGAGTGCTGTATATAGAGGAGGAATTGCATAGCTATTTTATTGTCCTGGTCTCTGAGTCAAGGAAGTAGTTTTCTGTGGCTTAAGTGAAAAATGTTGCTTGCTTTTTCTTTTAAAAAGGTATCTGTTTCTTACCCATAGTAGGTTGCCACTGTTACGAGTGCAGACCTCACCCGTGATTCGTCTTATCCATGTCTGAATGATTCCTAAAGGCATCAAAGAACAGGATGTTCTAACAGGTTCTCACAGAGGAAGCATAGAGTGAATAAAGTGACAGCAATTACTTTTGACAAACTTTTTTCTTAATAAAGAAACTGGTTGGTAATTGAAGGTGTGATATTTGGGTGGATGATCTCAAAAATGGAGTTTTGTTTGGGTTTTCATAGTATATTTTCACTAAATATTATTATGTAGAGAATGAGGGGTGGACTGTAAAAATGGCACCTTTTTATTGTACAATTCTGCTGTCTGTCATTTAAACCAGAGGCACATCTTAGATTTATACTGACAAATTTTACTCTCTTTAGCACTGCAAAACTCATGTAGCTGTGTGAGAATGAGCTGGATTCTGTTATCCCTCTGACAATACATATTTGGGCAGAATTAACTAAACCAATTCTGTTTATCTTGGGTACTTCCGTTACTGTGAGTGCCTACAATCATTAACGTATTTATCCTTACAACACCCCTGTGAGGTAGAGAAGTGCTGTTATCCCCATCTTGGAGATGGGGAATCTGAAGCACAGAGAGGCAAGTGACTTGCCCCAAAACACAAGAAACCTGAGCACAAAATTGACCCAAGGTCTCCCAAGTCCTGGGCTAGTGCACCAATCACTGGTCAGTCCTTATTCCCTTGAAGTACCTCAATTACAGAACGATTGCCTGTGATTCTGGAGCCAAAAAGAACCCACTTGAACTTGCAGGTCTTGGAGTAAGTAAAACCATCTCTTTACATGTAAATCACAAATATATTCTGTAAGGAGTAACCCAGATCTGAAGAAAGAGCTTGGTGTAAGCTTGAAAGCTTCTTTCTCACCCCAACAGAAGTTGGGCCAATTAAAGATATTACCTCACCCTTACTCACATATTACAACTTGTGTGTCCAATTACTCACATATTACAACTTGTGTGTCCAATATCCTGGGACGAACACAGCTACAACAGCACTGCATTACCAATTAATGTCACTTGTCAAGAGTGGAATGGCATGTAAAGCCTTTGAACTGAAAAGCTAGAGATGACTTTGGTTTTAGTGAATGAGACTCTGCAAAAGAAAAACTTCTACATAGACTTAACGTCAGCATAGCTACACTCATTTTGGATCCATACCAAAATGAGATTTGGAGACCCTTATTTCTAAAGGTTCATTTAGTGGTGCTATTTTTTAATTGTATTCCTGTACTACCAAGTTTCCCAGGCTATAGTCTCCATTCCAAAACTGTAGAGATTCTGAATCTGTAGTACAAGCTCACAATCCTCTTTAATATGGGACACTCCTGTCATAAACTTGATACAGCAGGTAAAAAATACCATTCAAATATTAATGTCTAACAAGATATTAAGCTTAGAATATTGCTGAAACTCCATCCTTAATCCTTTCCATTGTGGCAGAGTATTGCAGTGCATATGATAGGTCAAATCTTTTTTCCCTATCAATGCCTAAGAATAAGAGGGCAGATCGAGAGTAGAATTTAAATCTTATTGCATGGTTATGTTTTAACTGTAACAGTGACATTTTGTGCATGCCATAATTATTTATTAATGTCTGTATTCAGTTATCTCAGTGATTTGAGAAGCAGCATAGGTAGTATCTGCATGCATTGTGCCTGGTTCAAACCAGTTGTATGAGCAACTCATTTTCATGAGTAGCCACTTCTTTTGCATCCTATAAATCTGCTGCAACATGTGAGAGCCTGGTCGAAGTATTCATTGATTTGTGTTGAGTATAACACTAAAGGCAACCTGCAAATCTTCCTACAAAATGTCTTCATCTGGAGCAATATGTGACTTGTCCATTTATGAGGACTATTTGCCACATTACCAGATTCCTCAAAGGGAGCAGAGAGACTTGCAGGCTATCTTTTCATACCTATGGTTTAATTATAGTGGTACTGAAGAAGCTGCTATAGGTGAAGGTTAGAGAGCATTTTGGTTACTTGTAATATGTTTTGTAGGCTGCTTGTTTTTAAAAAGAAAATCCTCCCAACAGAAATACTTTGGTTATGCTTAGATCTCACGTGTGTGGCTGAGTAGGAGGTAGTTTTTACTAATTGTTTGTTTGTTTTTTAATCAAAGTTTAATATGGATTTTTATACTTTTTACTGTGAGTAAGTCACTAGTGCACAGTTATCTAATTACTCTGGCATTAAACATCTGCCGTTTTTAATAAAATTTTTTGAAATGTACAATTGATATAAACAGCAACTAATTGGATTTTTTGTAAGGATTTTATTCACTGACGGATGATATGACGCACACAGTATATATGCAGTATTGCTAACCCCAGTCATTCTGAAATCATGAGTTATGCCCCCAAAAGTCATGAGATTGGCTTACAAATCATGTTTACCTTCTGTTTTTGGGTCTCTAAAGCATACATGGGTCAAGTTTTTATGCTTTTCACTGCCACTATGAGTTAGAAAACTCCCTCCCCCCCCTTTTTTTTTTAAATAAGAGCTGAGATTTTCAGCTAATCACAGGCCTCCAAGAGCTGGGACTTTAGGAAAGTATCAGAAGATTGGCAATAAAATTGTGAGTTGTCAACACTGCATTGTTGCAGGATGCCATTACATTCAACACACACTTCGCAGTTTTTCTGATGCAAACAGATGTGAGACATAACTCTGCTTCCAATAGGAGTGTTTTTCAGGTAAGAAGTAGTTGCTTAGACAAAATTGTACTTTATAAAATGGCCTACCTATGCCAAAAGGATATATCTATAGTTTATGGAGCAAATAATACATTTTTATGACTTTAAGTTTGCTTGCAATGAATATTAATGTCAAGGTAAATAGTGTATCAGCACGAAATTACACTTCTTTAGAAAGAAAGAAACAAACAAGATGACATTGTGACACTCTTGAATTACTGATATAGTGGTGACGTTGTTCATATTGCTCCTGACCCCCTCCTGAATGTTTCAATTTCTTTTGCTTATCATAAGAATAAGGGGAAAAAAGTTACCAACTGATATTGTCTTAATCCTCTTTATTACTGAACCCAGAAGAGACAGGAACTAACTTGTTCTTTCTATCACGGATCAAGCGCACACTATGTATTAGCAACAGTGCAAGCTGACTTGAGGCACTATAGTTGCTTGTGGCTAATGATATTTGGATCCTCTGTAAGTTAGAGCCCCATTGATTATAAATCCCTCCTCTGCCCTTGCACCAAACTTGTTATTACAGATGTCCATGTGCATCACCATATTACTAAACAAGAACAACCAAAAAGATGACGTCTCTAAATGGAGGACAAAAGCTAAAAAGAAAAAAAAATGCCCAGAACATGGAAGAAGCATAATATTTGCCAATTTTGTCTATGCAAATAACTGGGTAATTTATTTGGGTAATTTATTGTTTGCAGGAAGAAGCGGCTCTGTGTGGCTTGAAAGCTTGTCTGGAAGCATTTTGGCCAGATGGCAAGTATAAATGTCTTCAAAGATGCTGGGTTGAGGAGCATGCTGTATGGCAGCTCCTTCCAAACCATTAGGAAAGATGTAGTTAGTAATTCCTTCCCCAGAACCAGTTTCATTGTTCTTGCCAATGTGGAAGATTCGATGTCTCCAGCCAATCCAGATCCACCTTCTGTGGCACTGCTAAGCGCTGGCAGTAGTATCCCCTTGTGCTTAGGGAGCGCACACAGCCACATTGCCTTCTACGCAAAAACACTGGAGGATGGGAAAAGGGCTACTCTGCTGTCTTTTTTTACCCACATGCCCCCATGCACCAATAATAGAATGGCCCTAATTTTAGCACAAAAGGGATGAAAGCCAGCTATTGGACCCAATATAGCCAACAGCACTAACTTCAGACAAATAAATGTATTAAATGCTAATTAGTGAGTAATGGAAAGGGTTAAGATGCTAGTGAGAAAAATACAAAGACTATTATTTTATTATCGGCTGGGATAGAAGATATAGCCAAGGGTTCATATGATTCAAAAACTATTGAAGACTGCTGTACAACAAATGGGCATTTTTATTATTAAGCACAGATAACATCAGTGATTTGGGGAAGGACAAATGTAGTTCCGGTCTTTATGAAGGTGAAAAGGAACTCATCACCATATTCACATTGTGCTGAAATTCATGTGAAATTTACACTTTGTACCAAAGATCTTGACTGCCCCCCCCCTTTTTTTTTACGATGGTCCCTGTCCCTAAATAATGTTTTCTGGCTGTTTAAAGATTTTTTTAAATTGGGGTTGAAACTGCTGCAAGTAACAGAAGTAGTCAGTGCCAGCAAATGTCAAAACACCAGTACAGCTTTCTTAGGGTATGTCTATACTGCAGCTGGGAGAAGTCTCCCAGCCCTGGTAGGTTGACTTGCACTAGAAGGGTTCAAGCTAGCATGCTTAAAAATAGTAGTGTGGACATTATGGCTTGGGCTGTGAAGCCTGGGGAAGAGGTGAGCTTGGGAGCCCAAGCTCTGGCCCGAGCTGCAACATTAAAGCACCATTTACAGAGCTATTTACATAAGCTGCTGATCTGGACTGGACATAAGCTGCTGATCTGGGGGCTTCCTCCCAGATGCAGTGTAGACATGCCCGTAGAAGCCAAGTTCATTCAGGGCTTGTATGTCAGCTGGAGAAGATGAGGAAATCGTGGCAGCCAAGATGAGGAAACTGAACAAGTGAGTCAAAAGGAAGTGTAAATTATATCTACATATGAGGGGGAAGAAAGATTGATGAAGACTTCACTAACTATGCCTGTAAAAATGCTAGGGAAGGGGCCCTGCACTGTTCAGTAATGCAGTGACCACATCTGCAAACCCCACACGTAAAAGATTTGGAGATGCTGGAGGTATCCCTGCTGCTTCTGACAAAATGTAAGAATCACCCATTAGAACAAGATATTTTTCTGGGATGGGGAAAACTGCTGTTATTCTAACAAAAGTGCAGAGGAAGATTAGAGTTTCCACCTGAGATTTGGGCTTCCTAATAGAGGATTAAATTGAACACCAAATGGTGTTCAATCTGTGTGCTTGTGTCAATAATTAAAGAGTACTGCCTCTTTCATAGGCAATAATCAGTTTGGGGTTCAGTAAAGGGAAATGAATTCCAAGTCCCATCAAACTGGTAGATGTTTTTATTACTGTGAAAATGGAGGTGAAGGATTCAAACTGTAAATGAAGGAAGATTGTTTCCAAAGGGGCTGTTCAAGCATTGAAAAGGAAATGGTTTAACCTAGTTTTTTGAACAATAATAGTTTAACATAGGGGTTCTCAAACTTCATTGAATCACAACCCCTTGTGTCAGCAAAATTACCACATGATCCCGGGTTGAGGGGAGGGGGCTGGAGCCTGAGCCCTGGGTCAGGGTGGAGCTCAGGCTTCAGCTTCAGCCCTGGGTCCCATTAAGTAATGCTGTCCCTGGCAACCCCATTAAAATGGGGTCATGACCACTTTGTGGTCCCGACCCACAATTTGAGAACCAAAACAACTTTTGGACCTCTCTTATTTCCTTGCCTTTGTTTTAAGGCAGAATTGGGAGGGAGCTCAGATTCTCCATATGTATTGTAACACCACAAGCCATGGTAATTTCTAGAGTGGGAAGTATAAGAGAGAGGCTGGAAATCCGGTCAAGGTTATAAAACAATTTCCCTCTCACCAATATGAGAACCCCATTTTCATGAATTTTGGGGTAGTTATTTTTTTCAAGTCACATAACATGAAGTGTTTTTTTTCTGCTTTAGTTGAAGAATGTAAGGGTGTAGTGATCAACGGCTCGATGTCTAGTTGGCAGCCAGTATCGAGCGGAGTACCCCAGGGGTCGGTCTTGGGGCTGGTTTTGTTCAACATCTTTATTAATGATCTGGATGATGGGCTGAATTGCACCCTCAGCAAATTTGCAGATGACTCTAAGCTGAGGGGAGAGGTAGATACACTGGAGGGTAGGGATCCAGAGTGACCTAGACAAATTGGAGGATTGGGCCAAAAGAAGTCTGATGAGGACAAGTGCAGAGTCCTGCACTTAGGACGGAAGAATCTCATGCACTGCTACAGGCTGGGGCCCGACGGGCTAAGCAGCAGTTCTGCAGAAAAGGACCAGTGATTCAATGAAGTGGATGAGAAACTGGATATGAGTCAGCAGTGTGCCCTTGTTGCCAAGAAGGCTAATGGCATATTGGAGAGTGTCCAGTGGAGGGTAACGAAAATGATCAGGGGCCTGGGGCACATGACTTATGAGGAGAGGCTGAGGGAACTGGGCTTATTTAGTCTGCAGAAATGAAGGGTGAGGGGGGATTTGATAGCAGCCTTGAACTACTTGAAGGGGGGTTCCAAAGAGGATGGAGCTTGGCTGTTCTCAGTGGTGGCAGATGACAGAACAAGGAGCAATGGTCTCAAGTTGCAGTGGGGGGAGGTCTAGGTTGGATCTTAGGAAACACTATTTCACTGGGAGGGTAGTGAAGCCCTGGAATGGGTTATCCAGGGTGGTGAAGCCCTGGAATGGTGGAAGCTCCATCTTTAGAGGTTTTTAAGGCCTGGCTTGACAAAGCCCTGGCTGGGATGATTTAGTTGGTGTTGGTCCTGCTTTGAGCAGGGGGTTGGACTAGATGACCTCCTGAGGTCTCTTCCAACCATGATATTCTATGAAGTTGACTAGGCCAAGCCTACATTAAAAACATAGGTTGACTTAGCTGTGTCGCTGAGGGCTGTGCTATATCCACACTGCTGACTCAGATAGTTA